CAATGTTCCTTGGGTCATTCATAGTTAGTTCCTTTCTTAACCCACACATAATGTCCACTTGCTACACTAAAATTTCTTACATAGAAAGCATTAGGTGTATGGCCACTTATACCACAATAGAAACATGTAGGAACAAAATTACTTCTATATCTAGGAACATAAGATTTCTTTTTAGGAAATCTCTTCTTAGGATGATGATGAACCTTTTGTGCTTTATTCACTTTTTCCTTGTTAGATTGGTCACTTGCCTTAACAAAGATAGTTTTACTAGTACTTAGTTTGTTAGATTTAGAATAACCAAGACCACTTTTATCATTTGAATACCTTTGTTGACTAAGGATATTATCCAATCCAACTTGTCCTTTTTAATACCTTTCAAGAACTCTTTTTAATTGAATAGTTTGAAAAGAAAGTGAATCACATTCTTTGAATGTAAGATTTTGTTTTTCCTTTTCAAGAAAACATTGTTTTTCAACTTAAAAATTCTTTTACATGGTGTCAGTATTTTCTTCAAGAGACAAAATTTGTTTCTTTTGGGTTGACACTGTTTTATATAAAATCTTACATTCATTGAGAAGTTCATCAATAACACCTTGAAAATCATTATCAAACAAGGAAAATTCACTACTAACCTCTTCATATTCATCATCGGAATGGTGTGATGCCATCAATGCAATATTAACACATTCTTCACTTTCGGAAATGGAAGATGAACTTACTTCATTATCTTCCCATGCAATATAGGATCTTTTAGACTTTGACTCTTTTCTTTTCTTGAAACTACTTTTCTTGGCAAGTTTTGGACATTCCAGCTTTATGTGTCCTTGTTACACATATTCATAGCAAGTGACATTTTGTGTTGATGTAGAGGCTTCTTTCTTGTTAAATAATTTCTTCTTTTTCACAAAGATAGCATTTTAACTATTACCAAAAAATTTACCTAACCTTTTTACAAGAAGCATGAACTTCTCATCACCTTCCAAATTATCTTCCTTTTCAACTTCCTTTGAGTTAACCTTTAAAGCAATTATTTTTTATTTATTATCTTTATTATCATGCTTTTCTAGTCTTTCAAGTTCTGTCTCATATTTCTGAAGTTTTCCAAACAACGTTGCAGAAGTCATTGTGGATAGGCTTTTCTCTTTGGATATTGCCGTCACTTTTGGTTGTCATTGTTTGAATAATAATGAAAATGTGAGTAAGTGGGGAAATAGTTCCACATTGGATAGGAATATGGTGAATTGAGAATATATAAGTGGGAGAACCCACTCACTTATCACCTTAATATTTTAGGTGGACAAGTGGTGTGTATCTCACAAAGTGCCTAGTCCTCAAATTTGTATCAATACTCCTAATGTAAACTCCCCCAACAAATGGTATCACATCCTCTGATTCGAGTAAAGGGACCGCTTACTTGTATTGAAATACCTAAGAAGAGGTGTCCTGTTGCAAGGTGTCAATAGAGGTACAAGTATATATGGGGAGCATTGTGGACTCACACTTGAGGAGGAGTATTAGAATAATAATGCAAGTGTGAGTAAGTTGGGAAATAGTCCCACATTGAATAAGAATGTGGTGACTTGAGAATATATAAGTGAGAGAACTCACTCACTTATCACCTTAAGGTTTTTGGTGAACAAGTGGTGTGTATTTCACAAAGGTGCCTAGTCCTCAGCTTTGTATCAATGCTCCTAGTGAACTCTCTCAACAAATGGTATCATGAGCCTCTGGTTTGAGTAAAGGGACCAGCATACTTATATCGAAATACCCAAGAAGAGGTGTCCCATTGCAAGGTATCAACGGTGGTTTAAGTATATGGGGGTAGCATTGTGGACTCACACTTGAGGGGGAGTGTTAGAATAATAATGCAAGTGTGAGTAAGTATGGAAATAGTCTCATATTGGATAGGAATACAATGACTTGAGAATATATATAAGTGGGGGAACCCACTCACCTATCACCTTAAGGTTTTAGATGGACAAAATACAGCCTAAAGAATTAATCCTCGACTTGCAGAAAAGATTTCTGCATTTGACAAATCATTAAAAGCACTTGGTAAGACTTTAACTAACGGTTAACTTAATCTTAAAGTGCTTAGATATTTAACTAGGGAATGGATGTTAGAATAATAACACAAGTGTGAGTAAGTGAAGAAATAGTCTCACATTAGATGAGACAATCCACTCACCTATCACCTTAAGGTTTTAGGTGGATAAGTGGTGTGTCTCTCATAAAGGTGTCTAGTACTCAACTTTGTATCAATGCTCCTAGTGAACTATCCTAACAAATGGTATCATGAGCCTTTGGTTCGAGAAAGGGATTGACTTACTTGTATTGAAATACCCAAGAAGAGGTGTTCTGTTAAAAGGTGTCAACGACGGTACAAGTGGGGGAACATTATGGACCCACACTTGAGGAGGAGTGTTAGAATAATAATGCAAGTATGATTTAGTGAGGAAATAGTTCAACATTGGATAGGAATGTGGTGACTTGAAAATTTCTAAGTAGGACAACCCACTTGCCTATCACCTTAAGGTTTTAGGTGGATAAGTGGTGTGTCTCTCACAAATATGGATAATCCTAAAGTTTGTATCAATGCTCCTAGTGAACTCCCCCAAACAAATGGTATCATGAGCCTTTGGTTCGAGAAAGGGAACGACATACTTGTATCGAAATGCCTAAGAAGAGTTTCCCCATTGTAAGGTGTCAACGACAGTACAAGTGGGGGAGTATTGTGGACTCACTTTTGCATTATTATTCTAACGCTCCCCCTTAAGTGTGAGTTTATAATGCACCCCATATAAACTTGTACCATTGTTACCTCTTCTTGGGCAACGAGGCACCTCTTCTTGGGCATTTTAAAACAAGTAAGTTGATTCCTTTCTCAAACCAAAGGCTCTGATACCATTTGATTGGGGGAGTTCACTAAGAGCATTAATAAAAAGTTGAGGATTATCCACCTTTGTGAGAGACACACCACTTATCCACCTAAAACTTTAGGGTGATAGGTGAATGTGTTCTCCCACTTATAAATGTTCAAGTCACCACATTTCTATTCAATGTGGGATTATTTTTCCACTTACTCATACTTGCATTATTATTTTAACACCCATTCCATGGTTAAAGATCTAAGCACTTTAAGATTAAGTTGATCGTTAGTAAAGTCTTACCAAGTGTTTTCAAGTGATTTTTCAAATGCATGAATCTTTTCTGCAAATTAAGGATTGATTCTCTGAGCTGTATTCTGAATACTTTGCATTCTTGACTCAAAGTGTTCAATCTAGATCTTTTAACTTCAGCGGTTCCTTCATAAGTATCCATCAATGTATCCCATATTTCCTTTGTCGTTATGCATGCCAAAATACGAAATAATTCATCCATGCTAAGAGCACCTTGAAAAAGATTTATTATTTTCTTGTGATAAAAGACTTTCTCCTCATCATCTTTATCACGTGAACGTTTGGGCTTCGGGGTGCCAACACCATTATCAAAACTTGTAGGAACGAAGGGACCATTTACAACCGCTTTCCATACTTCTTTTCCTTGAGATTCTAGATGTGCCTTCATACGGATTTTCCAAAAATCAAAGTATTCACCATAAAACAATGGAGGCTTCTTATTTCTACCAACGTCTTTAAAAACCAAATTTGCATTTACGAAAGCCATTCTAGATCTGTAAGAACAGGTTACCTATAACTTGCTCTGATACCAATTGTAAGTCCAGATTGCGCCTAAGAGGGGGGTAAATTATGTTCTTTAAAAAATTCTGGTTTTTAGACACAAATTGTTCTTATTTTCTGATTTGGTGTATAATTTAGAAAGCAATAAAGTGTAGAAAAAATAAAGAACACAAAGATGTATCCTAGTTCCCTTCACACTTCTAAGGTACGTCTAGTCCCATTTCAACACAAATGAGATTTCACTATTGTTAGGACTTGTACAAGACTAACACAATTACCAATAACAATCCTCTTGTGATTCACCAAGTTGAAATGATAACAATCCTCTCAAACTGAACTCTTTTGTTTCCAACATCCTGGAGGGCAATGTATTACAACCAAATATGGAAAATATTTAAGTAAAGAAAGTAGACGAATATATATCAATCATTAAGATTGATCTTCTCTTCCAAACAAGCAATTTACAAAGATATATTAGTGCTCAAGTGTTTATGAATGAGGGAGAAAATTTTCTGAACTGATATGTAAACAAATGCAGAAAAAATCTCAATGAAAATTCAAGTATCAAAGCACTTGTTTGAAAATGGGTGAGTAAATAATTTCAAATTTCTAAGGAAAAGGTGAGTTTTGAATTATGAAAATACGAGTATTTATATTACCTTAACACCCTTATGAAAGTGTATGGATCAATAAAAATATGAAATGATTAAGGGATACAAAACTGAAAACGTCCAGATCAAAACTGAAGTTAAAACAACCATTGCTTCAGGGGTAATCAATTACGAGAAAGATTATAACTGGTTAAGCTGAAGTGTCACCTCTTAAATTTCAAAAAATTGTGACCGTAAACAATTTGGCAAAAGAGTGTAATCGGTTACGAAGGAAAAACATGATTTTACAGAAACTCAAGCATAGCAGGTTTCAAAGGCGTAACCGATTACCTGAAATGGTGTAATTGATTACGACTTCTGAAACATGAAAAATGTTTTTGACAAATGTACAGAAATGATTTTTAGTCTTAACCAAATTATGTTATGCATGCAAGTGAATACATAGAGATATTTTAAGCATTATGATATCAAAATAATATTTTATATTTGTACCTCAAATATAAAGATCAATCAAGACATCAATGGTAGTCTTCAAAAAGATAAGTCTTTAACACTTGATGCTAGCCTTCACAAATGACGAGCCTTGGACATTGGATTCTATAATTTAACCTGAAGCTTTTTCCATTCTTTTTCCATGATCATTTGGTTATCACTTTCTCTTCATCAAAAGAAAATAGATGGAGAGTCTTGACTTCACATTCACCCCCTTTTAGATAATGACGAACCATTGAAAGCTTTGATAAACTATGCTCCCCCTAACAATGATAACTCCCGATTAATCAATGCTTTCCCTTGATTCATGAATGAGAGTTTTTGGCATTTCAATGCTAGTTGCAAAATTGTTAGAGAAAAGGACAAAAACAACATACTATCCTCTCCCCCTTTGTCATTAACAAAAAGGATGGGAAAATACTTATCAATTTAAGCATAAGTATAATTATAGCATAATGAACCAAATTGAAATAAGAAATAACAAAACATTTTAATTTATACCATAAGAAAACTACGTCTTAAACATTTAAACAAAGACCAAGTTAAAAACTTTGTCTTGAAAACTACAAAATAACATGAACTTAAACATAGGAAATCAAAAAATAAAAATAAAAAAGTACACATTAGTCACTTTCATTCATATCCTCATTTTTTTCTTCCTCCTCTTCCTCTACTCCTTCTTCTTCTTCCTCTTTCTAATTTTCCGCTTGTTGACAGTTTCAGTTTTTAAGGATGTTCATGTCGAGGTGGAGTTCATGAAGCTCGGATGAATGACGAATGTCCATTTCACAAAGTTTGTTGTAGATAAGTGATAAGTGCAAATTGTAGTTATTTTTGTGTATAAGTTTTGTTGCACTTATCGATACTTTTTGTTAATATCATTTGAATAAGCCCAGCTTTGTTTGTAAATACGTTTAGTTTGTCTACATAATAGAATAATTGAGTTTTTGTGTAAATATTGTATCATTTTATATTTTTCATTTGTTTTGTAGGTATTCATTCATAATTAGAGCATTGAGTAATAAAAGTCAAAGGCTAAGTTTCAAGAATGTAATTTTTAGCAATTCATCAAAGAGGCTCAAAACAAATATGAGAAAAATAATAAATTTGGTTGATATTTAGTCATTGTTAAATAGGTAATTTAATAAGCTTTCCAACACTTCAAATCGTGTGTAAATTGGAGTTACAGTTCTCAAGTTATGACGAAAACAAGTGCTGATTTTTTTTATGACAACACAAAGCACGCTAAGCACCCGATTCTGGGCTAAGCGTGATCTATGATATTCAAACTTACTAAATAGGTGATAAAACACATTTTTAGGTTATGGGTTGGGTATTTTTGAGTCCCAACACCATCAACTTCATTTTTTGGTCTAGAGAAGGTAAAAACCAACATAGGGTCTTGCATATGGATGATTCAGAGGTGGATTTCTCATCAACTGACGCCAACAACCCGTGAGAGATTTGGTTCATTTTTTTTCTTCTCTATGTATTTATCTTTTGTTGAGTTTTGTCTGTACTCTTAATTTGAACATATGTATATTTGTTGATTATGGTATTGTGTAAAGCTTACTTTACAAATTAATCTTGATAGTTTCTTTGATCTTTTTGCCGATAGAGTAATACGATTGGTCTTGCGACTTGGCGTTAGACATAACCTTTGTTGTGGGTACATCTTGTAGTATCCATGATGATTTTGACGAGTAGAGTAGGTTTAGTACAACTGATCAATAACTTTAAGTTTGTGATGAGTAGTATAAATTCATGTCGGATAGATTTCTCCTCTCCAAAGAATGTATTTATTTTCTGTTAATAACTTTAATTCCTGCACTTACCACTTTAAACCCATTCAAACCCAAACTGAAGAGCGCGAGAAATTATCAAATGACAGTAGCACTAATCCCTGTAGAGACGATATGATAAAAATAAATAAATACTTACTTTTTCCCACCGCTTTACCACTTCAGGAACAAGCTAAAGAGAATAACCATCGGCGGGAGAGAGAGAGAGAGGGTGCATCATTGCTATGCTTAAGAATTCCATCAATATCCTTAAAAATACCCATGTTCTTCAAACAATTTCCATTACTAATCAAGTCTTTTTATCCATCTTCTTTGATGGTTCCCAATGCACATTGACATGACAATTTTCCAAAATCTTAGAAATCACTCTAGCATAAGGAAGTCCACTAGTCAAGCCCTTTGAATATTACATGTGGCGCAAAATCACATAAGCCCAATTAATCTTCAATTTATTCTTAATTGCAAACAAGAGTTGCATCTAAGTATCTCCAATTTGTGAGTAGTTCTTTCTATTAGGGACAATAACATAAGCAAGAAAATAATTGAGTATACAATCGCTTACAAATAGGTTCTTGCTGGACAAAATCGGCCTGGTGGAGGTTCAAGAGCAAGCACGTCGGGCATAGAATTCCTGCTCAGAAATTTGACAGGTGCTGAAGTAATATCCCAACTTACTGTAGTCTTTGGAATCTGAAGAGTCTGGAGTAAAACCATTCACAATCCTTTCACCTTCACAAGGAACACCTAAACAATTTTCAAGTTCTACTAATGACAACCCAATATCATCATCTCTAACTCTAGATTGAAATGCACAACCCGGATCAATAATAAAGTTAGAAAAAAAATTTCAGCCCAACACTGACATCTCTCAATCTAGTTTTGTTCATCCAAGACCTAAGTTCTACATCTATATAAACATTCAATTTTACACTGACAAGGGGGCAAATATAGACTGACTATATAGAAAACTAAAAAAAAAACCAAAGGAAAATGAATAACTCACTTCACAAGAAAATCCCTTTTCTGATCGGAAAACCTTAAGCCCTGACCGAAATTGCAACCACCATCCGTCCCCTGAGCCTCCGAAAAGCCACCCTCAGTCGGAAAACCTTGACCGGAGCCGTTCACCTTCGTTTTCCATTCTTTATTATCTTTTGAAGGTTGATAATTCTTCCCTAACATTGAATCCTTCATTATTCTTGTGATTGTTGTCGTTGTTTTGAACAAAATTTCTAAAACTCTTTTTCAGATCTACGAAAATTTGTGGTTGATTTTCAAAAATCATTTTCAAAATTGAGACGAGGAGAAGGAGAAGAATACACGAATGTAAAAAAAATTATTTCGTTCTTGTCGCGGCAGCAGTTGTATGAGCCCTGCCAAAGCACTGCCGCGACTCTCCCTCTCGTAGCCACATCTCTTATTCTTTCATTATATTTATTATTCTATTTTGAGATATGATGATGATAATGTATATTGATAAGAGAGAGAGAGAAAGAGAGAGTTAAGATTGTTATCTTTTGAAACAAATAATAAAAGAGAGATGAAAAGTTAATGATGCTGGCTGATTCACGATGACAACAAATATTTCTTTGTCTTTTCCTTTCCATCATTGAGATCCGTGTTGATCAGTCAGTGGGTGACAAGTGGTCAACGGAGTCCCTTGTCATCACATCTGAGAAGATGATAAGATTTGATTCTCTGCGCGCACATTTTTTTTAATTGTGTACCTGCATTCTGGGTCATTAGATCTGCATACTTTTGCAATTTGACTAGATCAAGATGGTACATAACTTTTCTGTTTTAATTTCTTTTCTTTTAATACATTTTTACTTCTAAAATTTATAATAAAATCAATTTTCATCCAAAAAATCTGAAAAAATTCACAAAAATCTCTTTTAATATTTCTGACTTTGTGTAATTTTTTCAGAGTTTAATTTTACTTTTTGATATTTTTTTATCTATTTTTCACTTATTTAAGTGTTTGTTATTAGTTAAAAATACTTTTATTCATCTAAAAATTATAAAGAAAAAAATTGTGACTACTTTGTAAGTACGAAGTGCGCCTAAGAGGGGGGGTGAATTAGGTACTTTAAAAATTCTGGTTTTTAGTGATGGTGGTTCTTATTTTTCTGGTTATAAGTGAGTTTAGGAAAGCTTAAAAATGTAGAAAAATAAAGAGACACGGGCGATATATCCTGGTTCCCCTCATAGTCCGAGAGTACTCCAGTCCCCTTTCAACATGAAAGAGATTTCCTTATTGTGGCAAACTTAAACAAGAACTACCAACCAAACCAAGAACAATCCTCTTGTATTTTCACTAAGTTACCTATGAGAACAATCCTCTCAATGTAACCACACTTGTATCCAATAACTTGGAAAGACAAGATTTCAACAAAAATACTTAAACTTAATTCTAACAATCCTGGAAAATAAGTAAGTAAATATCAATTTGTGAGTTTGAGTGAGTAGAGTAATATTGATCACTTAGAGTGATTTGACAATGTATAATATTCTTCTTTCAATAATAATATTGTACAAATACTCAAGATATATTTGCTCAAAGTTTTCTATTTGTTAATGTATGAAAATGTGCAGAAAACTTATGCATGAAAATGAAGAATGCTTGAGTTTGTATTTTAAAAATCAGAAAATATTTATGAAATAAGGTGTTAGATATGGATTTGAAATTGAATATTTATATGTTCATAACACCCTTTTTAAAAATCATCAAGATCTGGAAATGTATCATGAACAAATGCAAAGTTTGAGTGAAATGATGTAATAAAAAGGCATGATGAAAAGGCATGAACAAAGCTGCTATTTTTCAAATTCGTGCAGTGTGCAATCGATTGCACCCTTTGTGTAAATCGATTGCACAAGGTTTTTAACAGCTATTTTTTTTTCAAAATCTTTAAGAGTGCAATCGATTGCACTAACAATATAATCGATTGCATGCAAAGTCAGTAGCAAAAAATAACTGAGTGCAATCGATTGCACTTGCAATGTAAATCGATTGCATGAGAAACAGAAGCAAACATTTTAAAAAATTTAAGTATGCAATCAATTGCATAGGAAATGTAAATCGATTGCACATAGAAACAGAAGCAAAAGATCTGAAATTTTGAAGTGTGCAATCGATTGCACTAAGATACAAATCGATTGCATACAAAAGAAAAATGAAATTTTATCATTGAAAAGCTTGAGTAATGATTTTTAAACATTTCTTTTTCATTTTTGAGCATCTATATCTTAAGATCAAAGTAGATAATATTATTATACCTTTAAAGTTGTTAAGAGCTTTGAATGAAAATATTATCCTTAGATGCTTAGATGCTTGATCATAAATCTTTGCCTTCTTTGTTTAGCCATGGTTTGTCTTCATCAAAACAAAAGCTTATTTTTGAAGCTTGATTTTACATTCTCCCCCTTTTTTATGATGACAAACAATCTTGCTTTATGAGAAGTACTTTCCGGAAGAGCTTCTCCCCCTAAGATGCAAAACTCCCCCTATGTAGGAGAGGGTTGGAAGGTTGGAATCCTTTGCAATTCTTCATCTTAACTGGAGAGTACCTTGAAAGTTAAGACACAGGAAATACAAGCATAAAGTACCATACATCTTTCTCCCCCTTTGACATTATCAAAAATAAGGGAAAGATGCCTAAAACAAATAATAATAGAGCAATATATTGACAAAAATTATAGAATTTAAAACAGTAACATAAATTGTTTTAAGAGTTATACAGAAAATTGAACAAACGAAACATTGAAATAGCAAGACAATAACATAACAAAAAAAATCAGCCAGAACATTAAGGGTGATGTATGTCTGGGTGGTTGTGAGACCATGAGCCTTGGTTCGAGAATTGTTGTTGAAGTGGAGGTTTTGTGTAATATGGAAGAGGTGTAGCCGGGTTATTTAGGTTGTATGGTGGGATATGAAGGTGAGAATAAAGGTATGAGAATTGTTGGTTCACATCTGAGCGAAAGTCATTTATCCGGGTTGTAGTGGAGTCATTGATTGCACTCCATTGATTGTTGATGTTGGTGTTCATAGAAGAAAATTGTTGAGACATGTAGTCCATGAGCTCTTGATTGCTTGGACCAGAGGGAGCAGTAGAAAGAGGAGGCACAACTTCACCTCCTTCAAATTCTTGGTCATTATCTTTATTGCCAACAACATCTTCACCAATGTAGGTGATGGTCTTTGTCTCTGGATTAAAATGTACGCCCATTATTGAATCAACATTCTTAATTGAAATTTTGTTTAGATTAGGATCCATATTCACCTTTTCAAAACCACGAAAATCCACACCAAATTCCACCATAATCAAAGTGACAAAATAAGCATATGGAAGGAATTTAGACTTTTCATCCACTCTCAGCATATGCATCATGATCATTCTTGCCCAATTTACATTTACTCCTTTCTTCCTTGCATAAATAAGCTGCATCTCGAAGTCGGTAACCGTGCAATGGTTTCCAGCTCTTGGAAACAATATATAGACCAAAAAATAATGATATAAGCGATCGTCTATATGGAGGTTACCTGAACTCCAGGAGTCTCTGGATGGAATTACTCCGCCAAGACCACGTATCCGTTTGGCGCAAAATTCAACTTCACTTAACCGCCCAATGCTGTAAAAGAATCCCTTTTTCTGATAGCCATCCCATATCTCATTTTCAGGATCATATAGGGAGCTTCCAGTGAAAGGAATATGCAAGATCTCACCAACAACCTGAGGAGTTAGAGAGATACGAGTACCCAACACATATGTGACTATTTTTTCTTTGTAGGGTGTTAGATTACTGAAAGGAAAAATATTCTTGAGGAAAGGAGGAGAGTATACCATACTTGGGGTTGGATACAATTTTCCTTTGAAAGTCTTTGATCAATCTGGCTTCTTGCGCTTTGGTGAGAGTTGAGAGCAGTGGATTGGATGTTGAATAAACCTTCTTTTTCCCTTTATCTGAAACTGAAGCCTTTCTCTTTGTTCTTGAAGCCATGGATATGGAGTTTTAGGGTTTTGGGAGAGAGAAAGATTTTGTGAGAGAGATTTGGAAGTGATTTGGTTAGGTAGGGAATGAGTTATTAGAATTGAAGTGTATTTGGCTTGGGAATATGAGAGAAGAATTCTGACCAACATTAATTTTCTGTCATAAAAGCTAATTTCAGTATATGCAATCGATTGACATACCATGTGAAATCGATTTGCACACAAACAGAATCAAAAATTAAGCAAAACGCACATAGTGCAATCAATTGCATTAAAGGTGCAATCGATTTGCACATGAAATAGAATGGACAGAATTAAAAAAACTCTTTGTGCAATCGATTGACACTCTTTGTGCAATCGATTTGCATCAACAAAAATTGTCCAAAACCAAAATTTTTCTTGAAAATTTAAATATCACACAACATAGATTCATATATATATATAGCATGTATAAAACATATATAAAAGATATATCAAGGGTAGAATGCACCTTATAAGTCGCGTTCGTCAAGTATGCAGAGCTCTCGACGAATTTTGTATAAAGGTTCTTTTGCCAAAGGTTTGGTGAAGATATCGGCAAGCTGATTATGAGTATCTACAAAGGTTACCTCGACATCTCCTTGAAGAACATGATCATGGAGAAAATGATGTCGAATGTCTATATGTTTGGTCCTTGAATGCATGACGAGATTCTTTGTAATGTTAATTGCACTGGTGTTG